ACTTTTTTGTTGTGTATTTAAGTTAAAGGTAAAAAGAAATAGACATCTGATGTCTTTTGAGATATTTTATTGTCCTGAAAATTTTCTTAAATGCATTTGCTTTCATCTCGTAGCATTAGAGGAGAATTAATTCTACATCCGTGATATTTAAAGATAACTTTATCTTACAAATCAGTTATTTTTTCATTTTTCATTTTTATAGGAAGTTTTATCTATTTCTGCTTCTGTCTCTATCCTTCTTTCCCACACTCTTCTACCAAGCAGTGCATTGTTTTGCTGATAATGAGCTGTACCCTAGAGCTCCACCCTTGCCCGTGTGCTTGTAATAACATTGCAATGCCGAGTGCTTTGCTTCGTTTGGGTCTAATTACATCTCTACATCTCAGCTCTTATTTACCATTGTACTTGTTTCTAGAACACTACCTAAGAATTGTGGGAAACTCTTAGCAAAGAAATCACCTATAAAGACATAAGCTTTACTTCAGGCTTTTAAAAGTAGTGTTTTATGTCTTAAATTTAAAAAATTACAATTATTCAGGCCCAGAGAGATGGCTCAGTGGTTAAGAGCACTGACTCCTCTTTCAGAGGACTCAGGTTCTATTCCCAGCACCCACATGGTGGCTCACAGTGCCCGTAGCTCCAGTTTCAGAGGTTCAGACACCCTCTTCTGGACTCCACGAGTACCAGGTCTGCATGTGTTACACATACATAAATTCAAGCAAAATATCCACAGATAAATAGGAAAGATTTTTTAAATTACAGTTATTTAGTATGCGTGTGTATGCAGGCATGCTGTGGGCTCATGTTGAGGTCAGAGAACAACTTGCAGGATTTGATTCTTTCCACTGTCTAGGTCCTGGAGAATTGTACACAGGTTGTCGTGATTAGTGGCTGGCAAGCATTATTACCTGTTCATTCACCTTTTGTACCCTCTTAGCATTTTTTTCTGTACAATTTTATAGTTCTTGAATATTCAGCGTAAGTGTGTGTGTACATTTACTTAGTAGATTACTTAGTAGATGGTTATTAAACATGAATTTGTAGAAATATAAGCAATTTTTAAAAGACCAAAGCAACATAAAATGGTTTGTGTTATATCTAAGCAGTAATGATTAACAAGCCAAGTTTGCTCCTGGAATGCAGCTTGTCAGTTATGCTAGCATTCGTATTCTTTGCAAAGCTGATTTACTCAGAACCAGGATCCTGTTTTAGTAGAAGTAAACTGTGTGCTAAGAAATTATCTAATATAAAATTAATGTAGACAAGGAACTAAAGTCACTAGAAGCCAAACAAAACTTGACATGGATTTATAATTACCTGACAGAAGAGTTCTCTTCAGTAGAATTATTGTGAGCCTATGACTTCCAAATATATGAAAACATTAAAACAAAAGGATACCACAGGTGTCCAAGTTACCTGTGACTAGTTCATTTTTGGTTGAACTGTCATCGGGGAATTCTCTTGTATTAGTGTTGATGAGAACATTCTGGAAAGGTATCAGTATGTTTTGATTTTAGAGAGTACTGTGACACTCTCTTCAGACTCTCCAGCAATCTCCCTTGTAGCAAAATGGCAGCCCTGGGTTAAATTGCTTGTCCCTGCTCCACAGCTAACAACTGATGGCACTCGTGCTTGGGTACCACTCCATGTGTGTTCTCAGCTGTTCTCCTGTCTTCATGATGAGCAGCAGTGGGACGGACTGTCACCCTTCTTTATTGGAGTCCTTACCTCCTCTCTACACAGTAGCCTTTTCTGACAAATAGTTGGAAGCAGTGGCCTAGACAGGCTCTCACTACGTTGTCTTGGCTGTCCTGGAGCTTGCTCTGTAGACCAGGCTGTCCTCAAACTCTGAGAGATCCACCAGACCAGCTTGTGTTCCCCAAGTGCTGAGATTAGGGGTGGGTACCACCATACTTGACCACTACTAAATATTTTTGACACCGCCCTAAAGGTCCTAATAAATATACTTTCATGGCATAAGTTTTAAAGAAAAGGTCTCGATTATTAAACTTATATGGCAGGTGCTTTTTAAAAGGTAGATTATTTTGTACCTTTTTAGGAATTCAGATCTATCCAGTCTCATGAGAAGATCTAGCATAAACACTAGCAACAATTTTTTGCATATTGCTTTGGAATTTCCTTTGGAAGCCCAGTGTGCAATTTGGAAAATTTTTTATTGTAGAGCTTTTGGAGGAGTGTTTTTTTTTATATGTTCTGTATGTTTTATGTTGATCATCCACTTTTTAAAAATTTTAGTTGACATTTAAGAAATTTGACCAGATTTGCATATTTTAGAAAGCATTTAACTTCACCCACTTGTAGATAAAATTAAAAAATAATTTGAAGTTAACTATACACTTTGATATGATGATAATTGTATGATTTGCAAGTTCAAAATATGACACTTTGATAAAATGGAACTTATTTATTTGGTTTGACAAGTCATACATAACCTAGGTTCATGACTATTGTTTTCTAGCATTTGGGACACTGGAGATTGTTGGCATTTTAATGTTTGCTGTAGTGTTGGGGCACAGTCAGTTGGCAAGGTACTCTGTGAAATCATGGGGGCCTGAGTTGAGATCCCCAGCACCCATGCCCACTAAGTACAGCAGAGCATCCTTGTAATCCAGTGCTGGGAAGGTGGAGGCAGGAGGCTTGCTGGGGGTTTCAGGCTAACTAGCCAGATGGACAAGGTTCAGAGAGAGACCTCATCTCACAAAATAAAGTATAAAGTGATTGAAAAGACAGTGACGTCAACCACAGGGCACATGGACAAGAGACTTGTTCACATATACACTCAAAGTTTAATTTATAGCTTTGTTTTCGTTACTGTTCTATCTTAGAAATAATATGTGGATATACATACAGTGAGCTGGGCTTTGTTTTTAACCTAGTAAGTGGGTTGATAGAGATTGAGCCGAGACTAAAACAACACTGAGTAAACTGAAGTCTTAAAAAGTGTGTTCTTCTACGTGTAATTTAGAGGTTCTTTGAAGGTGCGTTAGTCATTAGTATTGAGAATCCTTTATGGGTATATTTATTGCTTTGAGTACATTTTTTAAATTTCAAGCTTCATTTTGTAACTTATAATTCACTTGGTATTTAAATTCCAAATCTCTTTAAGTTTTCATCCGAAAATCTCATAAATGTTGCATTTATGAGAATCTCCCCACCCCCATATTCAAACTGAGTAATCTTTACCTTTTCTAGAGAGAGAAATATTTTCAGACTACAGATTTAATTTAGTAAAAATATTAGAATTCTTCCTGCCCCAGCCTCCCAAATTGCTGGTACTGCAGGCACGTGCCCTGCAACCAGACTGAGTGATTGGTTGCTTGAGTCCTCTTGCTTCTTCCTTCCCTTCCTTTTCTTCTCTTCCTTTTCTTGTTTGTTTTTCTTCCCCCTTCCTTCTCCCTTTTTCCTTCCCCCCCCACCCCTTGTCCTCTCCTATACCTTCTCCCCTCTTTGATGTGTTCTTACTGAAGAGTTAATCCCCCACCCTTCTTTATCACCTTATGAAATATCCTTCTAGTTGACAGTAAGAGAGAAAAGCTAGCTTGGATGGTTCTCTCAGTTCAGAAATCACTGGCGTTCTGGGATTTATCTGGATTAGCAGAGAACATTTCTAACATGTACATGGTGATGATTGTGTTCTCCATAACTGTATACACTGGGTGAAGTGCTGCAAGCCTCTAAGCACTCAGAAAGTAGAGGCAGGGGGAATCAGAAGTTCAAGGTCTTTCTTAGTTCTTTACTGAGTCCAAGGCTAGCCTTGGCTACACCAACACTATCTCAAAAAAAAAAAAATAAATGCTTGCTAGGCCAAAAGCTCTAAGAGGATGATATCATGTGAACTGTCCCAGCAGCACAGAAAATAATATTCAGGTTGACATTGGTGGACTCGGGGGAACTCTTGATTGCCTCTTTCTTCGTTATTTGAGAATTTCACAATGCATGCAACATAGTTCTGTCATATGAGCATACTCACCCTCCATCCTCTCACGAACTCCTCCCAGATCCACCCCTTCTTTCTCCATCTACCCCTTCATAACTATGTTCTTTTAAATTTTCATTTTATTAATGTATACATGTGCTCAATTGTGTTGATGAATTCCATGTGTATGTAAGTATGAGGGCAGAAGGGAGCTGACAGATCCCTGAAGTGCCTGATGAGAGTTCTTATGTCCTTTGGAAGAACAGCAAGTGTTCTTAACCCTTGAGCCAGCTCTCCAAGTTCAAACAAAAACCTACAGAATATAGTTTGGCTCTACCTTAGTTTTTTTCATTAATTTATTCATTTTACATCCTGATTGCAGCCCCTCTCTCCCTATAACTCCTTCTGATTCTCTTCAGAGAAGGGAAAACCTCTCCTGGGTACCAAACCACCCTGGCACATCAAGTTACAACAGGACTAAGGCTCACCCTCTCCCACTGAGGCCAGACAAGACAACCCAGCTAGGGGAAAGGGATCTAAAGACAGGCAACAGAGTCAGAGTCAGCCCCTGCTCCTCTTGTGAGGGAACCTACATGGAGACCAAACTGCACATCTGCTACATGTGTAGGGGGCCTAGGTCCAGCCCCTGAATGCTCTTTGGTTAGTGGTTTAGTCTCTGAGAGCCCCCATGGCCCCAGGTTAGTTGACTCTGTAGGTCTTCTTGTGATGTCCTTGACCCCTCTGACTCCCTCAGTCCATCCCCCCACTCATCCACAAGACTCCTTGAGCTCTGCCTGATGTTTGGCTGTGGGTGTCTACATCTGTTTCCATCAGCTGTTGGATAAAGCCTCTCAGGAGACAGTTATGCTAGGGCTGAGCGTTCTGAGGCTCCACCTTAATTTGAACGAAATGTAGTGGGATGACTAAGCCATAAGATTTTGAACTCTATGAGCACAGATAAATAGCAAGCATATCTAAATTGAGTGGCTCATGTTTGCTCTTTAACATTAATGACTGTATATTCAAAGGTTGTAATAATTGAATATTGCCATTTCCCCCAAAGGTTTTGAAAGAGGAAAAGAAGACATTTCTCAAAATAAAGATGACTCTTCACTTTCAATGTCAAAGAGCAAGGTAGGCGTATTGTTGTTCTCATTATGTAATAGGACATTTTTCTGACATTTAAAATGAAGGCACTGAAATGAAATCCTGTACGTGTTCATAGGAAATTTTCTGTTGATATTTTTAAACCATGTAGTATATATGAAAAGTATAAAGGTCTATACTTGGACTAACTGAGATGCTGTGGAGTACTTGGGATGTACTGACTGGTAACCGTTGCTCTCTTCTGAGTAATACTGGTTTTGGTATGTAGGATGCTGCAGAACTTCTCAAACTGAAATCTGAGAGCTCCACTCAGAGATGTTTCAGGTGTCATGTTTTTGACAAGACACTTTTAAGTATTTTAAATTTATTCATATGAAATAAAATATAAACACATAGGCTTAGTTTTTTTTTTTAAACCTACTTTTAATAAGGGTTCTCAAACACTTCAACCACCCTCCCCCACCTCCCACCCCCAACTCCTAGCCCACCATCCAAAGGTCGGGGAGAAAAGATAGTAGGTAGGACAAAGGGTTGTGGGCCTGGTTAGAAGGAGTTCTTTGGGTGCAATTCCAATCTCTGTTTGTTAGGATACCAGCAGTCCAATTCAGTAGTATCAGAATACCAAACATGAATCAGAAGTGCTGACATGATCCAGCAAAAACAGTCAGCCTCCACCACATTTGTACAAGTCAGTGGGAGCAATCAGAACCAGCTGGAATGCCAGGAAAAGTTCTCTGCCATGCCTCTTTCAACAAAGCAAAGATGAGTGAAGATGAGAGACCAGTGAACCGTTGCAGAGCTAGCTATGCAAGAGCCCCATTGCTGCCCATTGAGTCCTACTTATACTCTCTCCAGACATCATGTGTCCTCCATGGGGTTTGCCTCCTTACCACAGGAGTCTGCATCACATGACACTACCAAAAACTTCCGCTTCATATATATTTAACAGATAATGAACAACATCTTTGCAACTCTATCCTATAATTAAAATAGGACATGGTCATTCTAAGTTAGTATTTTTTAAAGCACCACTATAGTGTTGTAGTGGCACTCTATAGATTGATAAAAGTTAAATGAGTTTTCAAAATTTGTCAAGGGATTTGACTTCCAACTTTTTTTCTGATCAGATATAGTAGCAGTGATGAGAGTTTCTTAAAAGTTTTTGGAATCAGCTTAATGGTTGAAAGAAACCCCTCTTTCTTTCTTTCTTTCTTTCTTTCTTTCTTTCTTTCTTTCTTTCTTTCTTTCCTTTCTTCCTTCCTTCCTTCCTCCCTCCCTCCCCCCTCCCTCCCTCCTTCCTTTCCTCTCTCCCTTCCTTCCTTCTTTCCTTCCTTCCTTCCTTCCTTCCTTCCTTCCTTCCTTCCTTCCTACCTTCTTTCCTTCCTTCCTTTCTTTTTAAAGATTTATTTGTTTAGTTTATATATGTGAGTACACTGTAGCTGTCTTCAGACACTCCAAAAGAGGGCATTGGATCCCATTACAGATGGTTGTGAGCTACCATATAGTTGCTGGGAATTGAACTCAGTACCCCTGGGAGAACAGTCAGTGCTGTTAACTGCTGAGCCATCTCTCCAGCCCTGGAAACCTATTTCTCTTCTCTTCTCTTCTCTTCTCTTCTCTTCTCTTCTCTTCTCTTCTCTTCTCTTCTCTTCTCTTCTCTTCTCTTCTCTTCTCTTCTCTTCTTTTACATTTCAGATGACATTTCCTTTCCCCATTTCCCCTCCCTAGAAACCCCCTATCCTATCCCCCCCTCCTCTGTTTTGCTTTTATGCCACTTTAATTACCTGCAAGTAGTAAGGTCAGTTCTAGATTAAGGAACTAGCAATACAATAGATGCAAATAATCAAGGAACAAGCAAAATAATAAACACAAATAGTCAAAGAACAAGCAAGGCAATAAAAGTTTTGTGAGCACTCCCATGATCACTGTTTCTAAGGGCTTATCAGGATGACCAGAATATCTGAGCCTACTTCTCTGTTTTTGCCCAAAGTCATTTCATGTCTTAAGTTTACTTCTTTGTTCTAGCCTAAGATTTAGATTCCTGCCTGAAATTACTTCTTTGTTCTAGCCTAATGTCAGATTCCTGCCTGAAGCCCATTTCCTTATCCTTAGCCCATGTCAGATTCTTGCCAAGCAGCCCCAAAAGCTCTTGACCTCTCCCCCTTTTTTATTTCATAAACAAGCCTGTCTTAGGTTGTTCTGACAAGAATGCCTTCCTTACCCATCATGGAATATTCATTAGCAAAGGCAATGCATTTCTGTCTTAGGTTGGTAAGGCTCTGTGCAGAATCATACCCATCCTTGGCTTGCCAGCCTGTTAATTTACTAACTCTGTCTGGGGGTTCATTTTCAGTTTCAAGCCATGTACTTTGACTGCTAACATGTTGATGTTGTTAAAGACAAGCTTTAACATGATGGGCAGGAATAAAAGTATTCCCAGAACAAAAAAGGCTAGCATGATCAAGCTATATATGCCATTCTTGAAGCTTGACCAAAATAGAAATACTGACCATAGGTAATTTTATCAGCAGTATCTGCCACATCAATGGTTAGCAGAGCAGCATTCTTTAAATTCATAAGCTCACTATGCAAAGTTAAAACATCCAGAGAGGTGTTGGAATTATGCCAAATACACTGCATGGCATGACACTCGAGATGGCTCCTTACTCTTAAACTCTGATCCTCCTTCCAGTAATTTAAATTGGATAAAGAGCATCAATCCATTGTTCCAAATACCTATGTAAATCCTCTTGTATATTAACACATTAGTAACATTTTTTGCTCAATGATTAACAAAAGTAGCTGTCCTAACTTCTTGTGTCAAAGCAATTGCAGAAGCAGTGGTGCTAGCAATTAATGTAATTAAACCTATTTCTTAACTCAGTGAAGTCTCTGCTATCCATAGCAGTAGGTTTTGTTCATCCTACCTTATATTTTTTGCTCCTGTTCTTAGGAATAGTTAAAAGGATTACAAAGCATGTTTTGATTCCTGTTGTATTCATACTAACTATACATAGTTAACTTTAAGAATATTTGTAACTTCAGGGTGTATGTTCGGATGAAAGTTTCACAGCACATTTTATTTGTTGGGCATATGTGTGCAGGTACATGTGTACATGTAGGCATGTGGGGGGCAGAGGACAACCTTGATTATTTTCCTTAGGCACTACCCATCTTTTCTCTTATATACAGGGTCTCTCAATGGCCTGGAATTCACCAAATAGGTGAGACTAGCTACAGTAAGCACAGAGAATCTGCTTCCGTACTCTTCAATGTTAGAATTACAAGCACACATGACCACACACACACCCTTTTTGTGTAGGTTCTGGGAAATCTAACTCAGGACCTCATGCTTCCCAAGTGAGTCATCTTCCAACCCCAGTACATTGTATTTATATAACATACGTGAGGAAATGTTTAGTCATATAGGTGGGAAAATGTATTTCTTTTTTAATTCATTGCAAAGTTCATAGCTGAATCCCCTATAATAAAAGACATATCAACAAGACAAAACAATATGCATTTATTTAATGTAATATCACATAATGCTGGAGTCTTCAGAAATTAATACAACACACACACACACACCCCTCAAGAAACAAATAGGGAAACTTAGATATCTTTATGTTTTGGTTGATGAAGAGTACAAATCTGATTGAGCAAAAAGAATGACAAAGGGGCTGGACATCCCATCCAGTGGTATGCTCCTCAAGCAGTGATACAGATCCTTAAAAACATTCAAAGGATGCTCTAGTTTTTCTATTGTTGTGACAAAATACTGACCAAATCAGTAAAGCTTACACTTTCTGTCACAGTCCATCACTGAGGGAAGTCAGGGCAGGAACTTAATTAGGAACCTGGAGGCAAGAACTGAAGAAGAGACCATGAAAAATAAAATACTGCTTACTAGCTTTACTATACCACCCAGGACCACCAGCCCAGGTGTAGCATTGCTGACAGCAGGCTGGGCCCTCCTACATCAGTCATTAATCAAGAAAATGCCCACAAGCCAATCTGATGGAGGTAATTCTTTAGTCAAGAGTCTTTCTCAGATGACTCTAGTTTGTGACAAATTGACAAAAACTAACCAGCACAGATCAAGGATTAGGAAGGGCAGAAGTCAAGCCTGTTTGTTGAGATTCTGCTTGGTGTCAGTGTGTCACTGGATCCTTTCCACCGAAAATTATGTATTTGTTTGTGGCCTGTTTCAGGGAGACAGATAAGGTGCAGTCAGAGTGGCTTCTTCCTTCTGTGCTTTTCTCTTGGCTTCCTTTGTCTTCAAATACTTAGTATGCTGAGACACTGCATTCTTAGAGCAGTGTCTGCTGAGCGCTGTTGGTTACTATATAGAACCTGTAACTTTTAAAAGTCAGAGAAAAATGTATCCCAATCATAGCTAGAAATACAGTAGAGTTAGTACCGGAATTGTGGAAAATATGGCTTAACGATATTCCTTTGCGGAGGCTTTAATAAATATAAACACAAAGCTATGTGTCATCTGTACGTACCTTGAGAGAGAAGGAAATGGCAAGGAGACTGGACTCTGCAGACTTGATGGACACTAAGAACTGAAACAGAACTAGGACTTGATACAACTGTGATTTTTGTATACATGAGTATTTGGTGTGTAGATTTTTAAAATTAAATGCGTATTCATTCTACTGGGTACATGTTAGATGTTAACTAACTATATGTGGCTGGTGGCTCCTGTGTCAAACAACGCAAATAAAGTGAAGTAGAGGGAAGTCTGGACTACCTGTGACCATATCCTGAACTAACAAACAAAAACTATAACTAATAAGATGATAACCTTTTGGTATTAGTAATGTTATACTCATTCTGCCATTTTTCAAGAGAGCTATAGTACTAGTTTGTTCCTAAATATTTTAATGTATAATCTACTCATTCTTGTTTAAGTAATTTGGGGGAACAAATTTAAATTTTAAAATTTATTTTATTTTTATGTGTATAAGAGTTTTGCCTGCATATATATCTTTACAGCACAAGTGTGGTACCCAAAGAAGCCATAAGAGAGCTTTGGATCCCAGGAAGGGGAGTTACAGACAAGTTCAGAGTCACCCTGTGGGTGGGGACTGAGCTCTGGCTTCCTGGAAGAGCAGTCAGTGCTCTCTCTCAAAGGCCAAGATTCTCTCCATCCCCCAAACAACATTTTTAAAATGAAGTTTTCATTAACTTCATGACAAGAATGGCCAGTATAAGTAATTTGTATAGTAAGATAAATGGAGTCCTATTGCTAGGATAAGGAGTTTCTGTAATATAGACTCCATAACTCAATCCTCCAACATATGTATACATACCTATAAGTTTATAGGTTATTACTACTTGTTTTTAAAAAACAATATGCTTACCTGAATAAGTTCCTTTCTAGACCAAAACATCTTTGTAATCACAGTAACTTCCTAATTGTTGTTTTTATTAATGTAGTGTTTTATAGTTTCTAAAGAAAATCAGAAGAAATTTGATATATAATGCCTTATTCTGAAAGGCAAATTTTGACTACATTTGCAATCTAGAATATAATTAGAAACCTGAATGGGAGCATATACCAAGTATTATGTTAAACACTTTATGTGTGTTACCTCATTTAACCCCCCAAACAACCTGTGAGTTAGCAAAACTTAGGATATTTTACTAACAAGGACATTAAAACCCAAGAAATAACTTCTCACCTACTTGATGAATTTCAGGCCAATGAGAAAAGCTGGGTAGTCACATTGCTTGAAAGGCCATAATAGTTAAGTGTGTGTGTCTGGTGCGGGGAGTGGGGGAGGGGCTAAGCATTTTAAAGTTACTTAACAGATTCAAGAAATCCTTTATAGTAGTCAGTATTAAGATGGTGACCAGCCATGTTTACGAAGGAATAAAAAGCCTACTGTAATGAAATATCTTCAACAAAGAAACAGAGATGGTTCATGTGTTTCGTTCTACTAAGGGTATGATAATTCAGAGTCAGGCCTGGTGGGATGTGCCTGGAATTTCAGCTACTTAGGAGACTGAGGCAGGAGGATTGTAAGTTCAAAGCCAGCCTGGGCAGCTTAGTAAAAACCCTTTCTCAAAATTTTAACATTCAACAGGCCATATGTTCAACCCCATTCCCAGAGTTAAGAACAATGCTGTGCTGGTTCAGAAATCTGGGACAGTGCTGTGTGGGTCAGAACACGTGGGTCCTGACTTAGTGTTTTGTCACAGCTAGACTGCACAGTCTTTTCAGAGCTCTTAAAGGCGTATGTGTTCTGATTTACCAGTCTCACATGACATGCTTCTTGCCTGTTTATTCATATGACAGTGAAATCCTATGATAGCCAAACCAGATTTAGTCACTGGGAGTTGTTGGGGAAACATTTTCTCTTATTTATAAAGATAACTTTCACATTTGATTCTGGTCGCTATACTGTATGAAGACCTTTCAAAAAAGCAATAAACCAATAAAGTGAGATTACCAAAATAAAAAGCTCAGAATTAGGCCAAGGTACAAAATTCTGTTTATCTATTTGCTGTCTGTATGATTTGGGACTCTATTTAATGTGCAGGTATCGTTTTCTTACTAGTAAAGGGGGCTAGTACTGCTGTCTTAGTTACGTTAAGCAGTAAGTGAGGTGGTTACCACAATGCTTACCACAGTATACAGCCATTAATTTCATCAACATTCAAGCTGACAACATGAGTGTTCTTTGCTAGACAGTATTATTTAATATGTGCTCTTCCTAGTAGAGGAAGCAGAATTCTGTGACAGTTGTAATACATTGCTTCCCTCTGACAGCAGCTGTGTCATCTTTTGGGGATAAGTCCTCAGAGCTGTCTGTTTTGGGGAAACAGATAGCTGTATAGCAGGAATAATTATAAAAAATTGTTTTGGTGTCACACTTTTTGCGATCACCATGAGAACAAGCAATGTGGTGGTCAAGACCCTTGGGCCAGCAGCTTAAAAGTTGGAGCAAGTTGAGCTCTATTTTCTGCATTGAAAATAATTTCAGCTTGTTTCCTGTCAATTAACTATGTCATCATAACCACATCTACGCCCCGTTTATGTAAAGGTATTTCCTGCCAACCACCAGGGGTATTTTTAGCATAAACACGATAAATAAGCTTCAATGACATTTTCATTCTGTGTTAGTTGATCAAAAATAGTGAGCGCATCCCTTTCCTCCTCATCTTTGCCCCATTTATGTAAAGGTATTTCCTGCCAATCACCAGGGGTATTTTTAGCGTAAACAAACAAGCGTCAGTGACATTTTCATTTCACTGGTTGATCAAAAATGTTTAGCTCATTCCTTTTCTTCAGCTGGTACACTGGCTGTCTTATCACCATAGTGAATAACTACGGTGCTGTCACCATGGGTCATAAAATTGAGTGAAGGGTCCTTGGTTAAAGCTAGTGATATGCAGATGTAGCTGTTCAACGTTTTGAAGCTACCATTCAGATGAAGTTCCCTGTATACCCAGAGTATTACTAAGAATGCTAGTATGCTGTCCTATGTCTGACCGTGGTAGAAATGAAAAAATTGTAGGACGTTGAGGGAGTAGGCTGATACTGTTCTAAGATTTATAGAGATGGCTCTCAGACATATGCTTTGTACTCTGATGAAAGACTGGGCATCGTATCAGGAGAACCGGGTTCCTGTCGATGCTATGTTAATGATTGTGTCTGAGAGATCAGCCTCTCCGAGCCTCTTTTTGACATGTAACTGAATACAGAAATGTGTTGTTCAATTATTAAGGTCTTATGAAGACTCTTAACTATAAACTCAAAAACAAAACCAAGTTTTGTCATTATCACAATTTAAGTACACTGGAGAGGTGGAAAGAAGTAGATCCTGGAGTACTGTGTTGAACTGCACAATTGAAGTGGCTTTGCCTGAGGTGTTGAAGATGGAGGAACTGGGGGAGTGGGTAGTCTGGGTGTCAGTTTGATGAAAGTTACCTGGTCTTCTTTTGTAGCATATTGTAGTGGTCATCTTAACACTGCTTTGGCAATTTTTATACTAAGAATAATTGGACAAGTGTATATTTTCTAAGAAATGTCCTGAGAAATACAGTATAAAATTTAAAAATACTAAATTCATATTGCAGATTAATTTTTGAATGTGCATGCATGCATGTGAAAACACAAATACCATGTGGGGAAAACTTTATATTAAAATCCTCATTTGCTTAAATCATAGCAGCAAATGGATAGAGTGTAAGAAAGATAATGTTAAGTTTTATGTGGTATGTAAAATAAATGTAAGTTTTAATTATCTTCTTATTTTCATCTCAGTCTGAATCTAAACTTTATAATGGCTCAGAAAAGGACAGTTCAACTTCAAGTAAGCTCACTAAGAAAGAGTCTCTTAAGGTTAGTTTCTATAGTTATTTTTAATTTTTTATATATATTATAATTACATTTCTCCCTTCCCTTTCTCCCCTCTAAGCCCTCCCATACACCCCTCCCTGCTCTCCATAAAACTCTTGGCCTCTTCTTTTGTTAATTGTTATTGCATGTATATATGTATATTCCCTAAATATAACCTATTCAGTCAATATAATGTTACTTGTGTGTATGTTTTCAAGGCTGACCGTTGGCACTGAATAGCCACTTAATGTGTTCTCTGAGGAAGAACACTTCTCCTCATCCCTGATTTCCTCAGCTGCATATAATTCTTTGTGTGGGCTCGAGGCCTTGTTGGGGTTTCTTTGTCCACTTCGGCATGCCCATTGGTGGTGTCTTTGTTCAGCTCATGTTGCAGACTAATGGGACTTTATAGATATAGCTTCTGGTGTTACTAGGAGCTAGTCTTATAGCAAAGTTGATAATCTTTTGACGTTGTGCTTTGCATGTGCTTTTGAAAATGGGATAATATGAAAAATTGATGTGTGTCCTCCTAAAGGGAGAAGAAAAACTCCAGGAGGATCGAAAGGCAAGCATATGCAAGGAGTTCATATTTTTATGTTGCCATGAGTCCATTGATAAGACTTTTTGATGACTGTTCCAGAGTAGGCCGTAGCTCGCCATAGCACAGGCTCTGGAGTAGGTATCTCTTCACAGCTTTAACAGAGCAGAGAGAGCACCACATTGGTATGGAACAGCCAGGGGACATTTCTGACATCCACTTAAATTAGTTTGCTAATTTCCAGACCCATAGGGATATGTATTTTGTTTGACCTGTATCATGTCTTAAATTATGAGACAATGAAAGTCCAGATCTCTAACTTCCTTCTTAGGAAGTGTGGAGTGTGGAGACTACCTTCCTAAGTGGCCATAGAACTTGGAGCTTAAAGAACACGTGCTCTCTTCTAGGTCTGTTCCTGCTCATCATCACATTGTCTGTGTTCCATGGCTGGTCCTGTGTACATCAGCAGCCTTATAGTAAAGCTATTCATTAGCACTGGTTGCTCTTCCAGAGGACCTGAGTTCAGTTTCCAGTACCCACATGGCAGCTAGCAGTCCTCTGTAGCTCCAGTTCCAGAGGAGGTGCTAGCATCTCTTACTTCCATGGACAATGCATGTATGGGATAGACAGAGATACATGCCGCTGGAAAAACACCCACACACAAAATAAAAGAAATAAAACCTCCTAAAATAAAATAACCATAAGTCTTAGGTATTAAAGGCAGTTAACAGTTAAACTTTATTATGTGTATATAATCTCAATTAAATTTAACTTTAATAGATTCTTTTGTCTTATCATTTAAGAAATATCAACATTGATAGGTTATTACTCTTTCCCCATCCAAATACAAAACAACAATTGAGCTATTAATTTACTTTTGCCTTCTTGGGTCATTTCAAAGAAATAATTTACCTACAAAAGTAAAACATTTAATATTTTGAACAAGTTGATCTCATAGTTTCTTAATTTCTGTCTTGGATTTTAGTAAGAAAAAGAGCACAACTTCCATTTGGGAAAAATTGCAGCATTACTCATAATAATCAAAAGCTAGTAGCCAAGATTTCTACCAGTAAGAGTATGCATTGGGAAAAACAGCCTGGTGATGTTGAGCACAGCTTTGGAAGCCAATCTGCTTCTGGATCCTGTTTCACACTTTGCTAGCTGTGTGATTCGGGGCACATTACTGTCTCTGCCTCAGTGTTCTTGAACGTAAATAAAGCTGTTAATAATTCTACCTGAAAAGCTTATTGTGGTGATTAAATGAAGTAATGTTATCGATCTGAGTTTAGAATAATAACAGTTTACCGATGCATTCAGTGCTAACACTGTCAATGTTTTACTTATGGCAGGAATCTTGTGGCAAAGTTAAAAGAACATGATAGACATAGAAACAAAAAAACAATCAAATGGGAGATTTTGTGTGTGCATGTCTATAGATTGTGTGCATCTGAAAGCACAGTAGTGATTTAAAAGGATACAGAGGGCTGGAGTAGTGACCATGGAAACCAGATTCTAACCTGGGTTGTCAAAACCTCCTGTCTAGTTTTTTATCTCAAAATGCTAGAACTGTAAGAAATTGTTTCTTCCACTGAGTCTTCTGTTTCTACTTGTGTTCCATTAGGTCCAGAAGAAGAATTACCGTGAGGAGAAGAAGAGGGCCACGAAGGAGCTCCTCAGCACCATCACAGACCCCTCTGTCATTGTCATGGCTGACTGGCTGAAGGTCAGGGCTTGGGTTTGAACTCTCACTGAGCGTTTACTCATGGGGATGAGAATGTGAGACAAAACAAGATGCTTAGAACTTTTTATATGTCCTATGTGCCAGTCTTCACAAGAAGGAACTCTGGTGGCATCAGATCAGCAGCTCTGTTAAGGCATTTTGATTAGTGTGAAAGCATGTTGTTTAGTGTAACCCATTATAAAAATATTTTATATTCCACTAATCATTTGATATTATTGCAGATTGGAATTTGTATTATTAAATAAGGACAAGTTGATATGAAATTGTACCTGAGCCAGGTAGTGGTAGTGCATGCTTTTAAACTTGGGAGGCAAAAGCAGGCAGATCTCTGAATTCGAGGCCAGCCGAGTCTACAAAGTGAAAACCCTGTCTTGAAAAACAAGACAAGTTAACAAGTTTTCTTGAGGAGCACTGTGCAGTGAGTGCAGACCCACACTGCTCTCCGTCTCTTTCCCTTACCCTAGTCATTCAGTCTTCTCACGTTCTTACCTGACTGGACAGGACAATGCAGGTAAGACTTGAAAGTAAATGAGTTAGCAGAGGGCTGGTGAGATGGCTCAGTGGTTAAGAGCACTGACTGCTCTTCTAGAGGTCATGAGTTCAAATCCCAGCAACCACATGGTGGCTCACAACCATCTGCAATGAGATCTGATGCCCTCATATGGGTGTCTGAAGACAGCTACAGTGTACTTACATATAATAAATAAATTTAAAAAAAAAATGAGTTAGCAGAAGTGCTACCGAATGACCCCTAGCGACATTAAAAACAAGTCTCCCTTTATAGTGAGTCTTCATCATGGTTGCACACAGTTCAAATACTTCGAGGATCTTCTTCAGTTGTATGCTGAAAATAAATTTCAGCTTACTTTATCTCGTTTTGAGAACATATTAGCTCTGGATCCTACTTGTTTCTTCTCCAGAGTCAAACTTAACCAGACATCCTCAGGATGGATGGACCGACCGAACCTCCTTTCCCCAACCCACTCTGTTATATTGAAACAAGGCACTGCTGTGCAGCCCTGACTGGCCTTGGTCACATGGCCGTCTCTAGCCCAGCGTCTCACAAGCTGAGATTATATATAGGTGTGCACCACCACACCTGACGCCGTGGCTGCCTTTAAACCATGCCTTCATTGCTGACAGCTCTCCCTCTTTCCTACTATTACTTCTCAGAGAGCAAGAATATTACATCAGAGTAACTGTCTTTTCTTTGATTCTCTTAATTTACAGTCTCATTTATATAGAGAGATGTATACACACTCACACATACATACACACACACGTGTGTGTGTGTGTGTGTGTGTGTGTATGCCTTTTCTTGACTACTTTTCTCTTTTTATTCCTGGCTTCAGAGTCTGCCATATTCTTTTTATCTTGGATTACTAGGGTTCTGCCCACTTTGCTCCTTAAGGAGTCGTATTCATTTATCCTATGCATGTACATTCACAATTCACTTACATTTAATGAGTAAATGTGAAGTTCCTAGTGTACTTTGAATACAGTAGTAGCAACCTCTTTAGCATTGTTAAGCCAGTGAATTGCCTAGCAACAATTTTTTTAATGAGTGCAGATGTAGGACATGATAGAAAAAACTTGCTAAAGCTATTGGCTGCTTAAGGTAAGGAGTATTTCATAAAAATAAGTAATGTGCCTACACTTAAGGACTTCCTCCTAGACATTTATATAGCTCACTTTAGGTAATGACTGGGAACAGTTATCTAAGAAGGGCACGTTTAGGACTAAGTAGGGATTCTTCCTTCTTCCTATTGTTTACCAGATATTTAGGAGAAGTCTTGGATATACTAAAAGCATTCTGAAAAGCCAAATGAAAAAAGACAGAACAATCATTTATTCACAAAAATTACAGTTGTAACAACTTCTACAAAAAGAATAATTTCAGTGCTATGGAAGTTTATTTTAATGTCCCTTGAGTGATCAAGGAGGTTAGGGATCTACTTAATGTATGTGAAACTTTGGCCTACTGTTCCACAAAATTCGAACTTCTTAGAATCAGGAGCGATGCTGGATCAACATTTGTCTGCAGTGCATTGCCATGAAGTAGCCTTTTGACTAAAGCCATATTCAAGTAAATGTATATACTCTATAACTTTAGATTAAAATATCTTGGTAGCCATTGTTCAGTCTAATAGTCTGTAGTCTAGAAAGAGACACAGATATCAGTCTTTAAAATAAACTTATCTTTATGTAGATTCGTGGTACCCTAAAGAGCTGGACCAAGCTGTGGTGTGTGTTGAAACCTGGGGTGCTTCTGATCTATAAAACACAAAAAAATGGTCAGTGGGTTGGAACAGTCCTTCTGAATGCTTGTGAGATCATCGAACGTCCATCAAAAAAGGATGGCTTTTGTTTCAAGCTTTTCCATCCTTTGGAGCAGTCTATTTGGGCAGTGAAGGTATGTGAGCATTTGGTGAGGTAAAAGGTAGAGGTGACAGGGGAAGTCAGTCAGTCAAAGGCCTTTTGACTTGGCCAGAGCTTGGAATATTGTTTGTCTTTCATAGTTTTATTTTTCCTTCTGTCACTATCTATAATTGAACATGTGCCAAAAAGCCTTTCTCTTGCCTTTAAGACCTAAAATAATTTTTCCTGAAAATTTTCCTCGATATATTAGATCTTAATTTTCTCCTTTGTCATTGAAGATTAAATTTATATTTTTTTAATTAATTGTGGTTCCTCATTCTCTGTAATGTTGGTAATGTTGATTGTATATCTTGTGCAGTTTCATCAGAGTGGTTATCTAGAAGCGAGACTGGCACTTTCTGAGGCTTCCCTGTAGTGAAGAGGATGTGTGTTGGCGTGCATGGAGCACAAGATGTCCTGTCTGCTCCTTCTGTAAAGACAGAACACTAGTGTTTATACTAAAAGTATCAGTATGGTCCCTGCATGCTGTAAAAGCAGAAGTAAGCAGGAAAACAGCAATGCCTTCTCTGATTCATGATCAAGGAATTCTCCAAACTGTAGACAGTGTTGTTTACACTAGCCAGATCACCAAACCTTAAGCCTTCACAGTGGGATCCTAGCTTTAGTCTAGGCTGGTTAATTGGTTCCCCTTGAGTAAAGGACTAACTATAACCAGGCAATAGTGATGCGCCTAGGAAAACGTGGGCGCTTTTTAATCCCAGTAGTCTAGATTCATCGAGGAATAAATTTAGGATTACAGAATTATTTTTATTTTAGAATTCAATTTTTTTTACTAGTGAGTTATAACTAAATGTCCAGCTACCTAATTTATACTTCTAGAAGCATAGTATTTCTCACCTAGTAAGACCTATAAGATGAAAATTCTTGCTAACATTGAAATTGTATTAGTATGGTAAATTCTAGATTTTCTTACTATATGAGCAACATGTGTGAATAGAGCAAAGAACTCAACCCATAGAGGTATTTTGAATGGAGTCTGTTTCGTCCTCATCCTAGCGAGAAGGATACAGATTTTTCCTGACATACATAAAAGATTGAATACCAAAGTGGTTACTTCAGTAGGTTTTTTTAGTAAGTGACAAGAGTAAGATCTAGGCAGTCTGATTCTAAGTCCTGGTGTACCTTAGGTCTAGGGACCACCCCACACCTGGATTTAGCCTTGGTGTGGTACTAATGACTTACCAGTGTTCCGTGTGTGTGTGTGTGTGTGTGTGTGTGTGTACAAATAACCACAGTTATGAAGCAATTTTCTGTCTTGGCTTGTAAAAAGTCAAGGTTTTTACGATCAATATTTAAAACAAATAGTAATTGATTATAAAGTATATATAATTCACTTCTCTTTAGTGAATTTTAATTATATTTCTAGTAACTTTTTAAAAACTTTTAGGAATACAATATTTCTCATGTAGTAAAACCTGTAATATAGAAATTTTGTTAAATTGTGTCAGTATGTTAGATATTATGTTTTTAATATATCAGCAATATGTATAGATAATATTTAAGTGATAAATGCTATTATTTGTTCAGTTTTCTGTTAAGGAGCAAAATTTGTTGGGAAAGAAGACTTTAATAATAAATGTTATCATTCTTAAGGTTGTAATTAAAGCTTGTTTGTTTTTAGATTATTATTTGTGCCTGATAAATTTTTATCTGACAAGAATAATCCTGGCTATTGTATTATTGGTCTGTCACAATACTTACTCTGTCCCCCCTGTTCTCTCTGAAGGGTCCAAAAGGTGAAGCAGTTGGATCCATAACTCAGCCTTTGCCTAGCAGTTACTTGATTATTCGAGCTACTTCAGAGTCAGATGGTAAATACTTTTTGATGGGCTGGCTCTCAGCTTTAAAGGGTTATTTTGTATGTTACTTTGTGTTAACCTTGGAGGTAAGCATGTGTTCCTCGGACAGTGGAAGCAAAATCCTGAAGTCATAAACTATGTAGAACACCAAACACATGACCAGCGTCGCAGGCAGGAACTCGGATAGGAGGACACATGTAACTGGGCAGTGTCAGCAGCTCAGGCCTTCTTTCACTCTGCGCTGACACATTGATGCTATGAGGACTTAACAGTAATTCTTTGTAGAAATTCATTACACATTTTAAGAGAAATATGCAACCTATAAGCTCTCGTACTTTTAAGTTAACATTTGTGACTTAAAAACACTGGGTTGGTTTTATTTTACATAAGAAAGCAAAATACAACTTACACACACACACACACACACACACACAAATACACATATACACACACAAACACATACACCCCTCTGTAGCTAGATATGAAATTTACTTGGCAAATAATACAGAGAGAGCAAACCACAGCACTCGCACTTGCAACATCACCGAAAGCTTTATAATGAATGGATTTGTTCCTTACTGTCACACTGTATGGTCTAGATTAGCTTGTAAGGAATCTTACAGCCTTCCAGTACTGGGCTGACTAGAATCTCTGTGCATGAGAGCGTATGTGGAATGTCACAAGGCCTGTGACTGAACAGTGCAAGCTGACAAAATGTTCTCCTACCCAGAGGTAGAGTGGATGCTACACCTGAGGACTGACATGCAGTCAACATGAAACAGTATTTCAGCCAGGAGAAAAGTTCTCCTTACTGCGCTTTATGTTCCTTGTGTGATACTTTAAAGCTGCCTCTTAATGTTCTAAGGTTTCAGAGATAACGTGTGTTTTAGGTTGGATATGCTTACATAATACATGTCCCCTGTTTATTGTGGTTTTTAAATGGTTGTTATTCAAAAATCATTTATTTAAAATAACAAACAAGAGTCCATTAAAATGTTGGCAAACTTTTATATTTAAATTGTTTCCAGTGCTTGCTTGTCAAGGAAAGAATATGTTTAAAGGTGAGAGGGTTAAATGAGTGAATGCTGGCTTGTTTAATTTTCTTCCTTCGAAATCCATGTTTTAGGAAGATGCTGGATGGATGCTTTGGAGTTGGCTTTGAAATGTTCTAGTCTCCTTAAACGAACAATGATCAGGGAAGGGAAGGAGCACGACCTGAGCATTTCATCAGACAGCACACACGTGACTCTGTATGGCTTACTGCGTGCTAACAATCTCCACAGTGGGGACAACTTCCAGTAAGTAGTTCTTGCTGCTAATTTGATAATGACTCTGAAGACCATCCTACTCATTAAACTGGTTATCATTTCTTCTACCTTAGTAATGTGTATAGTACTGAAATTTGTGTGCCTTATTACTACGTGGCTTAAGGCCTTTAAAATTAGTTTATTTGCTATAAATCGGGCATAGGGCTTTGTCTTTATTTTCTTCATTTTAGACTGTGTGCATTGTTCTTTTTTTCAGGTACAAGTGAGCTGAGTATCTCCTTTGTTTTTGTGCATGATACACCTTCCATTAAGGATAATTTCCACTTCTGTTAGAATCCCCTTTCAAGATCAGTTTGAACGTTATATCCCATGTGAAGTCGTCTTACATCGACACAATGAGATGGCTCTTCCCTTCCACTGTTCTGGTCTTAGCATGTTTGATAATGGCACTGAGTTTTGCCTGCTATTTGTGAAGCATTTTTATGTTTACTTTTTAATGTGTGTGGGTGTGGTTTGTATGCATGACTGTTTGTGTGCATGTCTGTGCTCCATATTCCCACAGTGCCTTCAGAGGCTAGAGGAGGGTGGCAGGCCCCTGGGACAGGATTTACATATGGTTTGGGTGCTGGAATTGGACCAGGGTCATCCGGAAGATCAGCCAGTTCTCTTAACTGCTGAGCCTCTCTAGGCATTTCAAGTGGTAACTTTATCTGACTTGTGGTTTTACCTCTTGTAGCTAACTAACACTAACATATTTCTCTGGCAAAGCTGTGGTGCAGTGCACAGATCTTTTTCAGGTGCTGGCCTCTTTTTGTTGCTTTACAGAAAAAAGAAAAACCATCTCCCCTCTTACCATTTAAAGTTTCTTTTGGGGGCTATAGATTTATTCCCTTAAACTAAAATTGTTATTTCCATTGTTCCCTGGAAACTTACCCCTGCCAAGTAAGCCTATCAGATAGATGTTAACTATAGCTCAAAGCATGTTTCCATCTTATTCTTAGCAGTTATTTTGGGTTTCTTTGGAGCTCTTCACAGTGGGAAGTCAGACTTCACTGACTGAGAACCTGATGATCTTGACTTAATGTTTTTCTTCAGACCAGACGTGGCAGTGGCCCTGCTTCCGGGAACGTGGTTGTGAGACAGGAGGTGGTCAGATGTAACAAGTGTAGTCTACAGTTTCTTGTGAAAATTTTAGACCCAAGAATAGAGAGGCAAGGATCTGTTAAATCGCAGGCTTCTGTTTAATGTCTCTGTGCCTTTGTCCACTGATCTGTAAGAGAAAAAGAGTGTTGCCTAACCCAATGATTTCAAAGATTAAATAAACTAAGTAAAGCACTTTTAGAACTGTGCAGAGCACATAGTAAGTTTACAGTAAATGCCGCGTTTCTCCCAGTTATGCATTTGTCTTTTAGCCTCCTTTGTTCTTCCTTGTGATTGTCACTAAGGTTGAATGACAGTGAGATTGAAAGACAGCACTTTAAGGACCAAGATATGTATTCTGATAAATCCGACAAAGAGAACGATCAGGAGCATGATGAGTCTGACAATGAGGTGCTGGGGAAAAGCGAAGAGAGCGACACAGATACGTCAGAGAGGCAAGACGACTCCTACATCGACCCGGAGCCAGTGGAGCCTTTGAAGGAGACCACCTACATGGAGCAGAGCCACGAAGAGCTGGGGGAGGTAAGTGCTCTGTTGTCAGAGACCCACTCACTCACTCACTCACTCACTCACTCACTCACCCCAGAACACGTCTACACACAATGGTAAGTGCTCTGTTGTCAGAGACTCACTCACTCACTCACTCACCCCAGAACATGTCTACACACAATGGTAAGTGCTCTGTTGTCAGAGACCCACTCACTCACTCACTCACTCACTCACTCACCCACCCCAGAACATGTCTACACACAATGGTAAGTGCTCTGTTGTCAGAGACCCACTCACTCACTCACTCACTCACTCACTCACTCCAGAACATGTCTATACACAATTAGAGATATTTGCTTGGTCTATTGCTTTCCCCAAAGAATATTTATGTGTCACATGTCTTTTCAGAGGTGTATTTTGAAATTTATTTGCATTTAGCAGCAACCACCCGTATGCCAGTGTGGTCTTAGGGTTTACATTGTCAGGTTTGTTATTGAAATAGGATATTGCTTGGTGTCACTGCTATAAAGTAAACTGCAAATAAGCATAAAGTTAAAACTTGCTTGTTACATCAGTGCATAGTCCATGTGTGTAAAACAGTGAACTGCAAAGCTGGGTTCGGTGGCACAGTCCTGTAATCTCAGCCTGAGAACGAAGCAGAAAGTCTGCAACTTTCAAGGCAGCCTAGGCTACACAGCAAGGGCAGCCTGGGCTACACAGCAAGATCTTGTTTCAATAGAAAAATTAACTTAACTGAACAAATAAAATGATACTTTGTTTCTTTTATATATGCTGTTATTTTGATATTTCTCGCAGCCATCTTTTTACTTTTACAGACTATGTTTTATTACCTAATGGCTTTTGCACATTTCCATAGTGCTTGGAGTAGTCCTGGAGAGGGCCATGGTTTTATCATTCACTGTCTTGTCTGTGTGTCTGCGTTTAAGAGAAGTATAATATTTCAGTGTGCTCTGTTGATTGTTAAAGGCAGGTGAGGCTTCTCAAACGGAAACTGTGTCTGAAGAAAACAAAAGTCTTATCTGGACTCTCCTCAAGCAAGTCCGTCCCGGCATGGATCTATCCAGGGTGGTTCTTCCTACGTTTATTTTGGAGCCTCGTTCATTCCTGGATAAACTTTCAGATTACTACTACCATGCAGATTTCCTGTCTGAGTAAGTAGACTCCTCTGGAAATAGAAAATTCCTATATGGTATTAGAATATTTCAAAAAAGTAACAAAAAGCCAGGCATAGTGGCATGCAGTTATAATCTCAGCAGTAGGGAAGTGGGGAAAGGTGGATTCCTGGGCTCAGCAAGGGCAGTAAGAGACCCTGTCTCAACAGCCCAGGTAGGGACCACCTGAGAAGAGTGGCTCCTGAGCTCATCCTTTGGGGAATGGCAGTTGTGTGCTCAGCCATCCTTACTTGACTGCTGTCCACCTGAGTCTCATGGCACTGTTGGACTGTGTGTGTTGTCCTATCTGTTTTCAGTTATCCCTCAAGATTCATTGCATTCGTCAGTATTGAAGATGTCATAAGCTATATCATCATAAGAGATTATTGCTTTGTTACTGGAATACTTTGCATAATATGTAGTGGATAAAAGTATCAATTCTCCTGAAGTAAAAAGAGCTCTTAATGCCAGGCATGGTGGTACACATTTGTGATCCTAGCTCTTAAGAGGCAAGTGCTGTGAGCCTGAAGCCAGTCAGGGTTACATAGCAGGACTGATTTATCCCCCATTCCCTATAAAAAGAACTCCTAGATTATTTAAACCACTACAAAAGGATCTGCAAGAGTAAGTAGGTTTACTGTGAAGAAGTCAAACAGAATTGATGCAGTGTGCACTTGAGTTGCCTATGCTGCCAATAAATACGGTTCTTTATTGCTTTGGCTCTTGAACTATGTAAATGTAAGCTTTTAAATAAAACTTCCTAATAAGAATTTTAAAACTAGGAACAGAACTATCAGTGTGTTGTTACCAAAAAAAAAAAAAAAAAAAAGTCAATGATTTCGTTTGTCAGCAAATCTAGATCTAGACTCTGTCACCTTGCAGTGTATCTTCAAAAGTCAGACTCCACTGTAGGCTGGACTTCGGAAAGAGAGTACCTTTTCATACATAAGGGCCTAATGAGTGGGAATGTTAGCAGCAAAAATGACAAGAACTTCTCAGTAACCGTCACTTTGAAGAGTCACACTACTTTGTAGAAGTTCCAACAGTCAGCTGGTCACTAGAGAGGGAAGCTCTAGTGAGGGAAGCTCACTAGAGAGGGAGTCCCGGTTCCTGAGAGGATCCTGATCGTGAGGAGGCAAGCCAGTGAGTGGTCTGAACAGGAACCTGAGAGATATCATCTCCAGCACATCTGAAAAGCAGAGAGTGTTTCTTTTCTAATCACAGTTAACCACAGAACTCCTAGTTAATCCTGGGTTCTACAGAACCCCATTTTGGAAACTTTGGTTTGGAATTTCCAAAACCATTCTCGGCAGTACCCTGGGTAGTACATCAAAGAATCAGGAAAAACTGGGATAAGGTAAACAAAACAGATTCTTTTAAGATTTGTTTTGAAAAATTATGTGTCTATTTGTTGTAGCAGGTAAGGGGGGGGGGCATGTGCACATGAGTGCAGGTACCTACAGAGGCCAGAAGAGGGCTTGGGTGTTTTAGAAGTCACAGGCAGTTGTAAGCCATTGGACAAGGGCGCTAGGGATGGATGTTTTACCGTTTATTTGAATATGAATTAGGTAGTCAAGGAAAGTATGAAAGAATTTATGATTGCATAAAATGATTATATTTATCATTTTGTTTTTTAGAGCTGCTCTGGAAGAAAATCCATATTTCCGTTTGAAGAAAGTCGTGAAGTGGTATTTGTCAGGATTTTATAAGAAGCCAAAGGTAATGTTTATAGTTTCCTTCCTTTAAGAGAATTTACACTTATATATTATGTGGGCATGTGGAGGTCAGTTCTCTCTACATCATGTGAGTCCTGCAGATCAAACAAGTCAGCAGAGTTGGAGGCAAGTACCTTCCCTGCTGAGGTGTCTCACTGACCCTCTGTGGTGCTGCTGAGGCGGCTCACTGACCCTCTG